GCGGCGGCCGGCTCAGAGCGCGATCGGCCCCGGCAGCCCGGAGGCTCGTACTCTCGTCGTCGGTCGCCGGCGGCCAGGGCTCGGTCGCCCCAACGCCTGCCCGGTCACCTGCGCCGCCGCCCTCGCGGGAGCGCGTCGCGCCGTCTGCGGCTGCCAAGGTCGCCGGCTTCGGGGTGGGCATCGCCTGAGTTTCTGTGTTTTTTCACGCTCGAGTGCCGTCCTTTGGGTTTAAAAACCAAAGGACGTCAGGGTTCAGGGTCGTATGCTTTCCTTGGGGACTTTGTGACAGCTTGGAGCGACCTTCACCTTGGGGAAGGCAGTGGTGGGTTGTGTGTTGAAACTGGGACCTGTCACGAAATACCGCGGGCAGGATTTGTGTTTACCGGAGCCCTTTCTGACTCAAGATCTTTTTCAGTGATCCTTGGTATAGTTTTCTGAGGTGGCCTCAGAGTGGTTCGTGGATGTTGAAAGCTTATTTTTAAGTATCAGCATTTATTCTGGTGATAATTCCGTGTAAGGACATTTTCATGATTAAGGGTTGACAGAGAAACGGAATTTGACCTTAACCGGTGCTTACTTAACTCGTGGAACTTCTTCCGTTGACCGGTTCTCAGGGGTTAACCTTTTAAAGTGTGAATCCTGTCTTAGTTCACCAGAGTAACAGTTAACAGTTCTGGTTGACTGTTTTCTTCACTGCTTTCTCCCTGAGTAAAGAGAATGGGCCCTATAAGGATGAAAACTATGAAATTTTAAATTAATATTCTACTTTACCACGGTTTATGTCATCTTGAGCAACTGTGTTTTTGGCCTGGGGCTTTTCATCTTTTTCATTGGAAACTTGTCACAAAAATTTAGAGGTAATTTTGTGTTAAAGCCATAATATAGAAAATTTGCAGAACATGTACCATAATCCATATTTAACTGCAGTCTGCTTTTGGACAAAAATGGGTCTCACTGTGGGCCCTACGAGATCACACAGCTTTCTTATGGAATTTTAGATCACTGGAAGAGAACTTTGAGCATTGAACCATTTTAATAAGGAAAGTAAGGCTTTCATGCGTGGAGTGATTTGTTCATGGCCCCTTAGCTGTGCTTAGAAAGTGTACATTCGAGATTATGTGAGCACTTGAGAAATTTTTTAGAGGTATTACATATCAGGGTCCTTAAAACTTATTTTGTAAAAAGCAGGTTTAATTTTTCAGCGTATCATATCTATTGATTTTAAGTGACAGCGTGGTACATACTTCCATAGACTAAATCTTTGCATAAAATTGATGTGTGTTAACTCGCTGGCAGTAGAATTACTAGCAATGTGTTCTTGGAAAAGAGAGGGGCTGGGGATACAGCTTAGTGGCATAAGAGCCTGCCTGACAGGCACAAGGTCCTGGGTTGGATCCCCAGTACTAAAAAAGAAAAAGCTGTAGACATGCAGGTTTTTCATTCTTCGATGACAGCTTTTCATGCCATAAGTTCTAGATTAAAATATAATTTACTTTTGAAAATGATTTTAAGAGACTTGGATAGAGATTCATATTTAGATTATTAAAGTTCATAGTTTATTGGCAGTATATCTCAGTGGATCCACCTATGGGTAACATCAGATAATTGCTTAACAGTTCACGGATAAGGGAAATAAAAATATTTTAGAAGTTATAGTAAAACTAGAGTAGAATGCTTTAAAAATTGAATGAAGAATGAAAAAAAAACCTTTTCCTTTACTGTGCTAACTCAAAAGGCATTTTAACTGTAGCAGTACTTGTTTTGGAAGACCAAGATCTAAAAATTTTCACAAGCATAACTGGGGTATTTTAACTGAGAAAGATCACTTAATAAACAAGACTTTGCAGGATATAATTGCATTAGGGTTACAATGTAGATTATGTTACACTTCTGAGCATTTATTTTAAAAATGTATTAAAAATGTATCTTTCTTCTTCATCCTATATACATTTGTTTTTGTAGGAAGAAAGTATCTACATGATTCTGTGTCTGTGAAATACCTGTATAGTAGATAAGAAGGGGAAAGCTTGCCCAATATTAAATAAATATGATCTCAGATAGGAAAATTTCTAGCTAAGACTATTTGTAAGGTACTTAAGATATTCTCTTGCTTTTCTGTCTTTCAGTTCTTGTGGTTATGTCTTAACAGTTTTTAGTGGTCACTGGCATTTTTAGCTCAGATATCTAAAAGCCGAGTTTGAATTCTAGACTGGCTAGAGCCTCTGTTTGAAGTCCCTGTGTTCTCCCCAGCCTCTCCTGAAGCAGTCTCCTTGGAGCAACCATCAGAGCAGTGGCTGGGGCTCGGGCAGCATGTCTTGGGGCGCGATGCATGGCAGAGATCATCGGAGAACCGGCAACATGGGGATCCCAGGAACTATGAATCAGATATCGCCACTGAAGAAACCCTTCTCCGGTAATGTCATAGCACCGCCCAAGTTTACTCGCTCTACTCCGTCATTGACGCCGAAGTCTTGGATTGAAGATAACGTGTTCAGAACAGACAGCAACAGTAACACACTCTTACCCCTACAGGTAAGAATGGTGTGCAGGTGGTTGTGTGTCTGATGTTAGTCTTTCAAAAGAGGCAGTTGGATGATGGCAGTAGTAGAGAAAATTAACAAATTTTTTAAGAATACATTTCTAGCTTTTAAGTACATAATTATCAAAGGGTGGAATACACAGAAAGAAGCTGAATAAAAATAATACACAATGCAGAATAAGCTTTGAAAGCAAGCTTTCTAAACTGTAAAACATTTTGTGTCTTAGAGATTGAAACTTTTAAATAACAGCTTCTTAGAAGTGTATATTTTTATTAATCTCTCGCAGACCACCAAAATTTGCTTTTCTTATAGCTCAGCTAAAATATTATGTAATATAATACAGATTTTTTATGATCAGCTGTCTCTATACCAGAATATGTTTATTGCAGCTGTGACTTTGGCACAGTAATGTTAGAATATTAGAGCTCTTTTATACCAAACTCAAATTTGTCTTCACTGGTTCAATGACCATTTTTGTCAAAATGTACCCTAATATTTATGGTGCTTAGACTTTTTTCCACACCTTTTAATATTTTCTTGGGTTTCTCTTATGTCTGTTGCAAGTGAAATTTATGTTCCCTAAAACTTTTAGAGGCTAGATCAAAGATTTAAGATAGGAAGAATTTTGATTGTTTTTCTCTTTCTTTTTGGGGGGTGGTTGGTATGGGAAGGAGAACTGCTCATTTCTGATGAAAACTTCTATGCTATTGAAGGTGAGATCTAGTTTGCAGTTGCCAGCTTGGGGCTCAGATTCACTCCAAGATAGTTGGTGCACTGCAGCCGGAACATCCAGAATAGACCAGGTAGGCTGCACAGTGTATGTTCTTCAGGATTTTGGCTAGGAGCTTAGTATTTACATTGTGAGTAGGATTTATCATTTACAATTCAATTATACTTATTTATGCATATGTCAGTGGGAATTAAAGCAATTTATTTTTAAAAGATCATGTGATTTACGCTACCTGATATAAAATAGTCATTTTCAAATTTAAATGATGGGTAATCATTGCATATTTGTAAAGCTTAATAAACATTTTTGGGAAAAGGAGTTAATCATATACCCAAGAGCACCTGACTTTAAACATCAGTCAAACTAAACAGATTTTATATCCTTTAAGAATGATTTGCAATTAGGTATAAAGTCATTGTTTACCTAAGATCATGTTTTACAAAACTTTCCAGTATGTTTGCTTCTTGAAGTTTTGGATTTGTTTTGAGATATATTTTTGAAAAGGCCCTGTCTTGGTTTAGTATGTCACCTTTATAAAAACTTTAGCGTCTAGTACTTATTTATTCTAAATATTATTATTGTGCTTTCAGCCTTCACGTTATATATTTTCAAAAACCTTGTGTTTGCGATATGCTATCTTGCTACAGACTGAATTTGAGTGTGTTCTGGGTGCCAGGGACTAAGGACTATTACAGGACACGATAGCTCAGTCCTTCGTAGAGAATTCTGACAGGAACCAAGTTTGGTTGAGTGTAGATTTGACATTCTCTGAGTTAAGTGAATGAAACTGCTATCCTCAGCTAAGGCTCTTTCTCAGTCAATTTAATAGCAAGAGATGATTTTAAAAGTATGTAAGCAGATTAATAATACATTTGTGGGCATTCAGATTTACAGGATTAGCCCTAACTTCAGTAATCAACTCATAGAGTTATTTTAAACAAGTCCTGCCTATTTATCGAAGTTGTCCTGCCAGTACACAGGGCATAGAAATCTGCCATCTCCACTCAGAAATAGTAGCTATCTCATGCAATTGGCAATTTTTATGCTGTTAATATGTTAACTATTAAGCTATTTCTATTTTCCTTTTTACTCTTGCCCAGCTAACTTGTTCTGTGACATTTCCACTTATGGTAACCCTTTTTTAAGTGTTCAAATGAAATATACACATACCAAGGAGGTTGTATATTAGGAAAGGAAAATCATTGTGATTATTTTGAAAATGGTGAGGCAAGTATTTTTAGAGAGGAAAAGACCTGGGTATTCTGAGAGTGTGTGCAGAAGCCGTAGGGTATGTCTGGGTCCCGGGGCAAGGGCAGATATTAAACAGTTAGATTACTGAACTGGCTTTTGTGGATGGCATGCAGCTAGAAAGCAGATCCCCACGAAAACAAGAGGGAAGTGTTCCGAGCAGGCTCGGGAGCAGCTACCAGACAAGAATGCTCTCCTTCCCAGTTAGATTTCAGTCATAGCTATTCTCTTGACCAGATTTGCAACCTTTTACAGATTTTGTGTAAGGGGTTTTTTTTTTTTGGGATAAAGGGTTTTGGTGCTTAAAGATACATTTTTGGTAGACTGTTGGAATACTAGCACTTCGTGTGGGCTCCTGGGCACGGGTCTGATGTGATGAAGTCAAGGGTAGCAGTGGGAAGTGAATTGGACTCAAGAGGAAGGTCTGAAGCTTCAGTCTTCTCCTCCTCGCAGACTCTTTCTTTATAATGTGGAATGACACCAGCTTACCAGTTTTCATCCCTCTGGGTCATAGTTTCCTGATCTCTAAAAGGGGAACCTTGAACTAGGTCATAGTAAGTCCTTTTCAGTAGCTCTGTACTTGCTCTGTTTTGCCCTGCTTCTCTTCCTAACTCGTCCCCCTAATTCTCTGGCCTTTGCTCTTTTCAGACTGTGAGGGGCTTCGGTTCTTGCAGGGAGGCCTGCCTGCAGTGGTGTCAGGCAGCTGGAGTAGTCTGTGACCTTCCTACTAGACTTAGAAGTCATGTCATTGGGTCCTTTAAGTTCTTTCTGGGTTCTTATATAAAATTTGCTCTCTTTCCATCTTTCCATAAAAGGTTGAGGTATTTGAAGTTGAGATTCTTAAAAATACAGCAGCAGCTGCTACAAACTGAATTGGTATCTTAAAATGTCCAAGTGCAAATATTTTAAAGCAAAATTAAATTTAAATTTAAAATTATCAGCAGTGAACACTCAAATATCTGAGATTATTTCTATTTCTTACCTTTTGTCATCATATGCAACATTTTAATACAATTTATTAACAAATATAGTATTTAAACCATTTTTTCCCCTTTTTCCCTACAGTTAACTAGGTCTAGAATATTCTAATCTATAGGGGGCAAATTTTAATTCTTTATTCATTTTTTTGTATGTTAGGGAAAAGTCTACAGGGTGTTCAGGGTCTCACTACTAGATCGGACTCGTAGTGATCTGCCTATTTAAAGCCTCCCAAGATTACAGGTGCCCACCACCATGCCCAGTCTCAATTGCTTGTTAGGGGTGCTGCCAGCACAGCAGGCCCCTGCACCTGCTTGCAGGCACTTTAATCTGTTGAGCTATTTGGCCAGCCAAGAATATACTTTAAAGTAGTATTAACTAGTTATTTTTCAAGAAATCAAACTCAAAAGTGTGATTTCTAAATTACTTTAAAGAATTTTCAATTAGATGTTAAGGTTATAATATTTTTATTCATTAATACTTCTACATTTTATTTTTTATGAGCAGAATATATTTACTGAGAGAAAGAAAGCTCCTGTCCGAGAGAGGTAGTTCCCCAATACTTATACATTTTAAATCACTGTAAATATCCTTTTAACTGAGGTTAACATTATTTATAATTTTACATATGTGTCTTAGTTTTCTGTCACTGCTGAGGCAAAATACCCAACACCCAAGGTTAAAGGAGAAAAAGTTTATTTAGCTCACCGGGTGTAGAGATTTTGGTCTATAGTCTGCTGGCTTGAAGACAGGGTGCTAGGGCAGACAGGCACTGAAGAGGAAAAACAGCTCATGGTGGGCCGAAGGCAGCAAAGCAAGCACGGGCCGACTACAGTTCTTTCTATCATTTCTGTCTCATCCAGGCTGCTTAAGACAGGTCGCACTCACATCCTTAATCCTGGGGCCCTTGGTCCTAGGACTGCACCATGAATCAGTTCCAGCACCACACACTCTAGAAAAAGCCCCACCTAGGACCCTGTGGGACTTTAGAGGACATCTAGACTCAAGCTATGACCGTATGGCTCAGCAGCTTACTATAAACAAAACAGCATCAGGCAACTGCAGTACAGTGTACAAAGCCTGCATGTACAGTGGCCTGTCCCTAAATGGGGGAACAGCAAAAGACTCCGTTCTAGATTTTTGTCTGAATCACACACAAACTACCTGGAATTCGTTGGAGATATGTTCTGCCAATATTTAATATCCAAGCTACTACATATTATGATAAGTCATGATTTGGAGATCCCTTAGACAAACCATTCAAGCCTTAATCCATGTGTCTTAGCCACCATGTTGTCACTGAACTGCAATACCAACTCTTGACACACAGAGTTTATTTTTTCATTTATTAATTTTATTGAGAAATAGCAATGAGACAGTTTCAAAACTGATTGGTAAGACAGTTTCAATAATTAATACATTGCATATTGTTGTTTTCATAGTGGTTATTCATAGAACAACATGCAGATGTGATAGCCTATCCAAACGCTATTAGTACAGATTTTTCTTATTAAGAGAAAGTAGCTGTATAATCTATACTATTTTGTATATACAGATACAAAATGGTCCATTTTATCCCGTTTTTTTGTTTGTTTAGTTTTGTGACACACAGAGTTTAAAGGGGGAAAGGTTTGCTTTGGCTCACAGTTTCAGAACTTCAGGCTTAAACATGGAAGCAACATGGTAGAAGGACCATGGAGAAATCTGCTTAGATCATGGTGGCCAGCAAGCAGAGAAAAGACGAGCTGGAGAGGATCTAGACCCTTGCAGGTCAGGTCCCAGGGGCTCCCACCTCTCGCCAGACCCCAGCTCCTGACAGCGAGTCAGCTACGAGACACTAGGATTCAGTCCTCTGCCAGCACCCTACCTAGGAGTGCAGTGAGCCTTTAGGGGCATAACATCACCTGACATGAAAGGATGCACGCAAGGTGGTCGTGTACAGTGTGTATGTCTAGTAAAGCAGGTTGTGCTTCTTAATCTAGATCAACTTCTGGAACAGAAGACCTTTTCACACTTGTACTTGGAAAAGAAAGAGTGTAGGCTGTGTGTGCATGCTTGCACAATGACACTTTCTTATATTCCTCTCCTGCGTTTAATTCTTTAATTGTACTCAAAATACAGTCTGTATAAGAAGTATTACTATGATAACTCCATATCAATAAAAATCAGTATTAGTGTGTTCATGCTTTTTTAAAATTGCAAAGTACTTCTATTAGTTTTTTATTATTATTTTAGAGAGGGATCTACAAGGTGTTCAGGGTCTCACTGTGTAGATGAGACTCATAGTAACCTGCCTGTTTACAGCCTCCCAAGAGCTGGGATTACAGGCGCCTTTGCGCCACCATGCCCAGTCTCAATTGCCATCTCAGTGCGCCCTGGGGGCAGTTCCCACACAGCTGTATTTAGTTTTTAAACCATTAGCAATTTTCATGAATAATTTTCAAATATTCTTATTTCGGAAGAATATATACTTATTTTATAGCCAGATTGATTGATTGATTGATTGATTAACTGATTTTATGTATTTAGCACAGGGTCTACAGGGTGTCATTACACAGATCAGACTCATAGTGATCCTTCCTGTTTTTCAGCCTCCCAAGCACTGGGATTACAGGTGTGTGCCACCACACCTAGTCTCAATCTTCCTGTCAGTGTGCCCTGGGGGCAGGGCTGGCAATGAACACAGGGGATCGAACCCTGCTCCATGCATCTGCCTAAGCAGGCGCTTTAATCTGCTGACCTATCTGGCCAGATTTTTTTAGAAGTCAGAATTCGATCCCACAGGTTTACATAATGGAATTATATTTATGTATGAGCCTATATGTTTCATTACATTCAAAAGTTTATTTTGAGATGTTATGACTTGCTTGCTGTAGGCTTTATGTTTGTTGCTTTAAAAATCATATGGAATACAACTAAAGTTTAACAATAAAGTTACTAGTTAAAATAGCTTTGCTATTCTAAAGTAGGAATATTTAAAGATCTAAGTTAAGAGCAAAAAAGGGGACCCTGTAAATGGCTATGCTAGATTCATTTGGACACACATATGTAAACTAAAGTTAATACATGCTACTTTATTGAGTGACAATTCTTGTGTTGATTGTATAGTACTTACTAACGTATGTTGAGTAGTTTCCTTAAGACTTTTCCCTTTCACACCTTAAATCTTGTTGGAGAACCATTGACAGTGTGCATAAAATTACTTCAAAATTTTACTGTACTCTAGAGCAAGGTCATACTCCTTGTAGTGCATATGGAAGGTGCCTCTTGCCCTCTCCAGAAGAAGATTCCCTGAGAAATATCATTTGGGTGATATTAATGGTCACTATTAAAGTCATAGATTGAGGAAGATGGGGCATAGGATAACTCTGTTTAAAATCGTGAGCCTGAAAAGATGGGCCTGAACTGTAACACATACTCTTCATATTTCTAAGAATTTAGGGTACGTAGAATATAAAGTATTATATAAGCCCTTATAGTTTACTCTTAGAACCCACATGAGACATCAGACCTTCAGAGAGCTTTGGTTTTGCTTACTTAATATGAACAATTTTTATTGTGACCATTTATAATTTTATTTTAAATATGTCTCAGAACTTTGAATGTAATGATAGTCTTCTCTTGGATGGTTGGAATTTTGATGTTGATACCAAGGGCAGATTAATGTCCCATGCTGGTTTTGTCTTTGTGTCACATTTGGCTTTCTAGTCTGTGGAGAACTCTTGAGAAGCTTTGTAATCCTTTATAATTACCCTTTAAAAATATGGCCTCTCCCTTGTACACATTTCTACAAAGTATTTTATGGTAGAGATAAAGTAGTACTCATGTAGTAGGCATTTGTGGGCTGGCTGTGTTCTGTGTTCAGAAGGTCCCTAGCTTAATTAACTTGGAAGTTTACTGAGACAGGAAAATCAAATTAGTTGAGCATATGATAGCAGATGCCCAGAAGATGGAAGTATGTGCAGATTCTTAAAATGATAAGTCCTTTTTGTACAAAACCATCCACTTTTCTATTCAAGTTTTATTTATTTTTCTAGTGCTTTTAGTCAGAAAACTCAGTTCAGTCCAGTGTGCACCTTAGACCAGTAGTGTCATTGTCACCTAAGGACATGCTAGGAGTGACCACCTCTCAGGCACCACTCCAGGTCAGCTAAATGTGACTGTTGACACATTGCAGTAGTTGTGTGCATCAGGAGTTCAGATCATTCTGGAGCATGCTCAGATTTGGAAACACAGAGCATCAAGAAGGTATAATATAGCAAGTCCAGGGTCTTTCAGTAAAAATCAGACAGGGGAACTAATAGAATTAACTGGTGATAAAGCTAGAATAAGAGCCTGCTGTCTAGCTTTTTTTTTTTTTAAAGACAGGATCCCCTATGTAATTCAGGCTGGTACTGAACTCGCTACATAGCCCAGGCTGGCTGCAAACTAGTGGCAGTCTTCCTACCTCAGCATCCAGAGTGCTGGAATTATAGGTCCGTGCCTCCAGTCTAGCATTCTTTCCATTGTTCAGTGTTACTTTTCACTGTTTTTAATTCCTTGACAGTATTTTGTTTAGTCTGCAATACTGACTCGGGCACCTTAGCTTTGTAATGTTCACAACCATAATTTAAACATCAAAGTAGGGTAAATAAATGAGCATATTCTTGGGAAAACTTCTTAAGTTCCGAATCTTCTGGATTGTGAACCATTTAGAAAAACTTAAACCTGTTATGGGAGGTGGCTATGCATACACCCGCTTCAATAGTACACCAAATGTAATTCCAGTGACTGGCAGTATCTCTTGAAGCACGTAGACCCAGATTAACAAGTGCTTCATTTTGATATGTGTTGGCTTTTTTTCTCACTTTTTCTGATTATTCCCTTTTTGTTTTCAGAGATAATAATTTTCTAAGAGTTTAATGTACCCTTTGAGTCTTCATTGGGTACATTTATGTAAATTTGCATACATGCATACTCATGCCCAAAACTGGGTGGGGAATGGCACTTAACTATTTGGGAAAAAGATTCCGAGACTGTGGGGAAGACGGAGCCACAGCCTGCTGTGACGGTGCTCCATGTGTATTTTCTCACGTACATTGAGTATGTGTTGAGCAGAGCGTAGTAGCATCAATTAGAGGGCAGTGAAAAAGCCAGCTCTTCTAGCAAGCAGGTGAAAGGATGGAATCCATGACTTCTGACAATGCAGAAACAAACTATCCTGAGACTTTATGAAGCAGGAACTTGGTGAGCTGAGAACACATTCATAAGAAGAGAGGGATGGGGGGAAGGATTGCAACACAGAGAGACCAATGTAGGAGACTTTGGAGAGCGATTTGAATGTAAATATTTGAGGCATTAGGCTTTGCTCTGCTATCAGGACTCATGCTTTTGATCTTCACTGCATAGATGTTTATGCGTTCATTGTTATGAACTTCAGAAGACTAAGTCAGATAACATAAAATGCCTGATAGATGTTTAAAGTACGGTGCAATTACGGAATTAAATTTTTTCCTCTTAGATAATTATTTTCCCAAAGCCTGTGTCTTTCTAGATATGTGAGAAAAATTTAGAAGTTAAATAACGTAAATGCTTTCTGTGTGTATAAAATTTCAAGAATCTATACAGAATACCTTACTGTATTACAGTAATATTTCCAGTGAAGTTGGTTTATTTTTGATACTATATTTCAAATATAAGTACATTAAAAACATTGTTCCCTGGTAAAAGACATTGTAGTTCATATGATCCTCAGTTGTGTTGGTGTTTTCTTCAAATATAAATTGACAGCTAAGTAATAGCAACTTAATCAGATGTCCTATTATATAAGAAAATTAAATAGTATATTTAACCTTATTTTGAAAAAGAATTGCATAGGTCATAAGTCTTTTCTTTTTTCCAGGATCGAAGTAGAATGTATGACAGTTTGAATATGCACTCTTTGGAAAATTCCCTTATCGATATTATGAGAGCAGAGCATGATCCTCTTAAGGGTAGGTGACTTTTATTTTTTATTTTTTTTATTTATTTATTTATTTATTTATTTATTTATTTATTTTTTGCAAAACTGGGGATTGAACTCAGGCCCTTGTGCTTGCCAGGGAAGCGCTTATTCCACTGAGCCATCTCCCTGGCCCCGGTAGGTGACTTTTAAAACAATTTTATCATATTCTAACCTGTGTGGTTATCTTACCGATTTTAATAGAAAAATAAGCACTAATAGTACCTATGCCAGCTAATGGCTAATGGTATCTGAAGAGATTTAATGTACTTGTTTCACATGTACATATTCCATGTATATAAGTAAAAACTAAATCATTTTACATTTTTATACAATATTTCTTATTACCTTAATGTAAAAATCTAGTGTACTATGTCAATTTGAGGGAACAGAAGATGAGTACAAAATTAATTATCCTAAAGCTTAGCAGTTCAGAGCAGCAGCTGCTGCTGCTACCTTACACAGTTTCAGTGAATTGGGAGCTCAGGGGTAGTTTACTAGGTTGTTTCTGGGTCAGAACTTTTCAAGAACCCAAACCATAAATTTCTTTGTAAAGTTTCTGCATTTTTAATTCTGGAAAGCCAGTTAAGAATTCTCATGGACACCACAGGCTGCACCAGCCCCGTCTCCGGGCGAGCTGATCTGGCCACCGAGACCACGCCTATAATCCAAGCACTAGGGAGGCTGAAAACAGGAGGATCACTATGAGTCTGAGCTGTGTAGTGAGACCCTGTAGCAAATACATTTAAAAAAGAATTCTGATAAAAGACTTAAGATGCAAATTCTCGAATTGAGTATTGGCAGCACGCTGTTATGCAGCTAAGTTGATAATAATGATCAGATATCTGACCATTTTGTTTTTTTTCTGAATTTTACTTATAAAAGATGTCCTTGTCTTTCTGATTCTTTCATTTTAAGAAGCTTAAGAAGCCAAGAGAGGCTATAGGTGGTGACTAATAATGTATGTTAATGGTATTCCCCTTACAAGCTCATACAGTTACAGTTCAGGTTTTTCTGTTCTATCCAAAAGTCAGCTTAGGTTTTCAGAATCTCTGTGGGGTCCAGTTCTCACCGTTTATGCAGACAGGGCCAGTAGTGTGTGTCTTGGAGCCGCTCCTCCAGAATAGACTGACAACTATTGCATTTTTTCTGTGTATCTCCTTGTCTAGAAAGAAAATACTTAAGAAAATTATTTAAAAATCCTAGTGCATAATGAAGTTAACATTAATGGTAGACAATGAAATTTTCATTGTTACTTCAGTATTCCTATTTCATTGTTATTTCATTATTTTCTTTTTGGAGATGTTGGATAAAATATTAATTGCTGCATCTCTAGTTACCTCAGTCTTTCTTCTTCCTAGACTGGGTAGTTATAAAAGTGGAGGAGAATCTAGACTGGGAAAAGGAAATGGAAAAGGAAAAGAGTAATTTTTTTTTAAATTTTGAAGAGGATTCCAACTTTTTTATTAACTTTGACTATGGGAAAGGGAAAAATGTGCTTAGCACCAACTTTAAGAAGCATTATGGTGGCAGATTTCTTTTTCTTATTGACATATTTTCATTCTATGTGTATTATATATGACAAGGTCAAAGGAAAATAAAAAATCTGAGAAACCTCAACTTAAAAGGATTAAGACTCATACTTGTGCAAATTCCCATCATATACACACTTAAATTATCTTCACGCCTGAGTACTGCCACTCAGAGGGTATTGTTCTTTTCTTAATGGTATAAATGCCACTGCTTCTCGTATTATAAATGTATCATGTGTGCATACCTTCTCCTTTCCACGCTCTGCTCATTGCCCTTCTCCTTTGGACTAGATCTCAGTAATCCACCAAAGGAAGATGGTGGCCCACGGGAGAAAGCGCCAGGGCTAATCTGTTGATTTGCTCCCTTTCCTAAAACTGTGCTTTTAGAGTCCTTCTGTGGCGTATTCGCCCTTCTTGTTCTGTAGCTTGGAGCCGCACTTCACATACATCTCATCTCTTTCTCAGGTTTTCATCCTTTTCAGAAAAGCTTTCCTTTTCCAGAATAAATTGAATCTTATTTTACTTTTGAAAGTATGTTTTAAAAGCTAGCCATTTCCTTCAACTTTCTCATGGGATTTAACGAAAAAGGAGATGTAAGTTTGGAGTAAATTTTAAAGATGAGTTTCTTGTGTCTTTTTGTGTTAATATAAACATTTGTGGAAAACGGCATGGACTTGAGTAAAGAGAAATAATATGTGTCAGTTACCTGTTGCTGCAAAATGGATTTCCCCATAATTTCGTGGCTTGCAATCAACAGTAAGCAGTTCCCATCTCGTATGATTTCTGTAGGTTGGAGTTCGGGAGCAGTTTGCTTGAGTAGTTTTGGCTGAGGTAACAGACAGTTGCTGAGCCTGCTGTCAGCTGCAAGTTCGGCCGGGCGGGAGGGTTCCTTTGTACAAAGGTGCAGGAGGGCGGCTGGCAAGTTAACTTGCAGCTCTCAGCACAGGAGCTTCGCCCATTGCCATGTGGGCCTCTCCACAGGCTGCTTAGTGTTCTCACAACACGTTTGTGCAGTGACAGAGCTCAGTGCGAGTGCCTCAGTGTGGTCCTGACCAGCCCCAGAGGCCCAAGCACTGTTCCCACAGTGCTCTGTAGCTGCAAAGGCAGGCTGAGCTACGCAGGGCAATGAAGGGCAGAAGGCAAGGATGGTGGAGGTAGCTGCTTTCGCAGTGGTAAAGGGCACAGCTGTATATTCACACATATAAGCGAAAGGAGTTATAGTGAGCATGCTACCAGGAAAAAAGTGGTCAAGTAGACATCTGGAATACAAAGAAAGTGGCAGATTACTGGCCCACCTAGAAACTGAGCGGTTGGTCGACTAATAGATGCAGTCCGTCGTCCTCACTTACACCCGAGTTCTTCCCATCAGGGCAGCTGGGAGGGGTGGCCTCTCAGAGTGTGCAGGTGTCACGTGACGGCGGCCAGCAGTGGGGCGGTGAGTGCACTGTATGCTTTGACTATCCCACCTTTTCACCAAATCCTGGCTCTACATTTTGTGAAAAAGAAACCCACGGAATTTGTAGCCCACAGGGAAAAGAGACAGCTTGACGAAGCAGTGTACATCTAGCTAGTGTTAGGACTCTTAGCGAGGAGAGAGTAGAAGACGCTTGGTAGAACAAGGGAGCACCCCACTTAGACTTGGAGAAAAGAAGCTGAGACCTGTAGCCTGAGCAACACCCTGATGGAAAAATACTGGGAGCAAATGTCAGCTAGAGCAAGGGACCAGCATGTGCGGGAGCCCGGCGGGTCGTCACGGCTGAGGAACTGAGAGGAGGCTGTCACAGCAGCTGCCCCGTGAGCCCTGGGCAGGACTCGTGCAGTGGAGCCTGGCTTCCCCGGCTGGAAAGCGCTGATGCACAGCCGCGCTGCCCTAGGAGGCGTGGCGCTCAGCAACCTGCTCTGTGTTTTCTGCAGTGTTTGCGTTCAGTTGACGTCCTACTCTCTGATGACTGCCTTGATTCTAGGCACAGGATTTTTCTTTTTCAAATAAAGAACGGAGTACTTTTTTTTTTTAGTGGTTAAAGAAAATCATGCCTTGCCAAGTGCAGAATCGTAAAATACAGAACACCTTGAAGCTCTTCTCACCGGCCCCAATCTGTGAAAAGGCCTTGACTGTGTAAGCACTTTTTACCAAAAGTTGCTTATCCTCTCCTCTCACAGAGAGGGACAAAAATTTAGTTCCAGCTCATAAAAATTGACTTGAAAACTCTGGGAAGTGTGGTCTATAGAGCAGTTCTTAAAAATGTCTGTCTCAGCAGGTCATGATGTGTTCACGTGTGTACCCTGAGCAGTTAGAGGAAGTTCAAGAAAAAGGATTGCAAATATTGTTTCATGTCAATGAATGTGTTGAAGAGGATGATTTTTTATTTCCACATGTTTGCTGTGCACAGTGGCTATATTCCTGCGGGGGTGGGGTGCATGTGTATGTAGGAGGGAGTGGTTTTCAACCCTTTTGCATACTAGGAATTCCTAAATATATAGGAGCATTTTTATTAACTAAAAATGATTATTAAACTCCTAAAACACTAGAAATGTGACAAACACTTATTTTATGCATCCTAAACTATTGACAAAATAAGTTATTTTTGTAGGATGTGAAGTGGTTGTGGCAGTACCAGATTCTTCTACTTTTCCCTCTATTTTCTCTTAAGGTAAGATTGAAGCACAAAGTTATGAAATAACTGGAATGACTTTTGATATCTTTTGTGAGAACTTGTACTTTGGAACTTAGAGCCTTTGTGTTGGACAGAGGTTCTGAACTCTGAGAGCAGGGTAGCCTTCAGATTGTAGGTCGACACCTATGGGTTTTGGAATCCATGCTGTGTTATATATTGGAAACATGTACTGATTAAAAACCAAAAACTGACAAAATAGCATACTTTGGAGAAGAACAAGGACTAAGGTAGCTATGAAGAATTGGGAAAGTTTAATATATGTATCGAAGCACAGCGAACTGTGAACTGGACCACCTGTTACTGATGTTCTTGCAAAGCGCATCACCTCTTCTTCCAAGGCACTACCTCCTTCCATTTCTTAATCCTCAAGTTTGCCTTTCTTTGGGGTCCAAGTTTCCCAGAGTCATTTTCACAATTGTTAAAATAAAGGTATAGGGAAAAAAAAATGTTCAGATTGAACACTCTTAGTCTCAAACTCCAAAACCCCAAAGTAGAAAATCTGAGTCCCAAACATGATGCCACAGGTAGAAAGTTTCGTATCTCCCCTTATGCCTTGTCACAGTACAAGCCTGAAAGTATTGTACATACTTGTGTGAAGACTGTGACCCAAAGGAGCATTTAAAGCATAAATGAACTTCTCCGTTAGGGATTCCATCCCTAAGACAACCCCGTATGTTTGTGTAACTGTTCCAAAGCTGAGTAAGTGTGAAGAAAAATATCAAAACCCAAAGCTCTCCTGGTCCCATGCATTTTGGATAAGGAACAGCTATCTTGTACTACTGTGT